TGCCATCTCTTCGCATTGTAGGTAACCCACAATGTCAAATTTTAACTTCTCCTTGCAGTTATGTTTTTATTTATTTTTTAAGCATTTAACTGCTAGATGTTTAAATCTAAAGAAAAGTTCTCCTTGCAGTCCTAAATTTATTCTGCTTACTGGAAGGTTGCCTATATCACACCGATTCACATAAGACGGTGATATAAACGATGTTAGCAATTACAGGCCCATTTCGATTTTGTCCACACCCCGTAAAATTCTTGAATCGTTTGTTCAGAATCATCTTTACAACCATGTTAAAGGTCTTCTTAGTTTGGAGCAGCATGGATGTTTGCCTTGTAAGTCAACTAGTTCTAATCTCTTATCGTATGTTAACTACTTTCGGGTTTCGCGACTGTCAAAGTAATAACGCTCAACGAGATATTGAAGGAGGAAACTCTGCACCAGCAAAAATAAATAAAATACATAATTTATTTCGCACTCGAGCAAGCTCCACTAGATCCGTGGGTGAAAAAACAGTACTACAGTTGTCTCACCATCAAACCTGAACGAAACTATAAACAGGAAGATAATAAATAGTTATAAGAAATGTACCATAAATACAAAATCAACTCTCCCAACTCGGTTGGTCACCGCGGGAGAAGTAGACCAATACTCCCCAACCATTGCTACAAATACAAACAACACAAAACTACATAAAATTAAGCACAACAACAATACACATAGCAACTCTAAACACTCGCACTTTAAGAACTGACAAAAGTTTGCAGGAATTAGAAGTTGCACTACAAAAACTAAACTGGGACATATATACGCCTTTCTGAAACAAGAAGGCTTGGCGAATCTATACAACAAAGGTCTGACTACATATTTTTCAACAAACTAAACTGCGGGACAAAAAGGAGTAGGTTTCTTGATCAAACTCGCTCTAAAGAATCAGGTAATAGACTTTCTAGGAATATCAGACAGAATTGCTGCCATAACGTTATCACTAACCAGCTACAAAAAAGAATGGAAAATTATTCAAGCATATGCACCAACAGAAAACGCCTCCACAACTGAGCTTGAAGACTTAAGCATGTATCATTGTTTTTTTGAAGTTATACTTCTTTAGGCGCGTTATGAAAAAATGATGAGAGTGAAATTTTAAGATGCGCGCGCATCACTGTAACACAAAATTTTAACATAATGAAGTTGGTCGCTTTAGCGACCAACTTCATGCGTTACTTTTGTGTTTACCGCACATTAAGAAAATCTACCAACAAAATAGAAATAGAATCTCTATTTAGTGGGTGCTAACGACTGCATTGTGAAGGCCTATCAAAAGTATTTATTAATCTGGAACAACGGAACCAAAGCGCGATTCAGGAGACTACAGCGCCATCTCTTGACCATTGGTGTAGTAGAACCAAAAACCACATCTTTATTTTTTGTAATAAAGTAACAAAAAGTATTTATTAATCTGGGACAACGGAACCAAAGCGCGATTCAGGAGACTACAGCGCCATCTCTTGACCATTGGTGTAGTAGAACCAAAAACCACATCTTTATTTTTTGTAATAAAGTAACAGTTATAGGTATTTATATTTATAATATTTATCCACATGTTTCTAGTTTGTATATTCGGAATACGTGTTTGAGTTTCATACAAGTGCAAATCACATATGTTCTAATAAATTATATTCAGTAGCGATTTTAATTGAATATTTTGATTATTTATTTATTTTTACAAATTAAAACTGAACTTTATTGACTTCGTCCTTTTCCAGACTTTTTATTAATTTATTGTAATTAATTCTTTGCATGCAATTAAAAACTAATTTTAAACGATGCCAAAGAAGGATAACTTCTCACGCGCCTACATAAGTACACGCACCCATTTTTTTTAACACACACCAATTAGCCTAGCCCCAAAGCACGGTAATAATATATACAGTATTCTATCTTCCTACAAACTGTCGGAAAGCGAATCATACCTACGCCACTCGAGTTCGGGGGAATCTCGGCGGGCACCCAGTCGCGAATGCGCCGCAGCGACGACCGAACGGTATGAATTGTTTTTTATGCAGTTAGCCGTGCTTAAACGTGCGATTTGTATTGTAAATTTTTGATTGAATTAAGTAGATACCTACATAATTTAATATGGCAAAGAACAAACGACGATATTGTGCTGTTTTTGGTTGCTTGAACTCTTTAATAACGTAATAAATAACTGAAGTAACCTGAAATATTGGAAAGGTAAGACTATAGAATATTTTTTTATATACCTATCTACTAGTACGTATTTGTTTTTAATATTTAGGTATTTCGATTTTTCCATCGAGCAAAATATCTGGAATAATATATAAATAAGTGGATAGGGTGAGAAAAGAGACAAACGAGTAATCTACCTACACTCACGTTAAAAACAAAACCACATAATAGGTAGGTAGTTTCCTAGACTAGGCTATCCACTTACTTAACTACATACATTATTGAATTAAATGAAATGTCATTATGAAATCATTTACGAGAGTAATAAATGGTAGGTATTGTAGTGATCAGATATTTTTGGTGTATACTGGCAGCTTATTAGGTAATTTGGAAGTTGTTGACAGGAATTGATAGCTGGAAAATAATAAAATAGGGAGAATTGTGCGGAGTTTAAAAAACAGTATTTTGTTTATTGATAATAATAATGTAATTTCTTGAAAATAAAAGTGTTTCAATGACAATAATTAGTTTGCATGAAACGATCCCTACAGTACCTACCTAGTAAGATGTACCTACATTGTAGGTAATTTCCTTTTAACCCGACTGCACCATGACTTACAAATGAATATAACTTGTATGTTTAAAATGATATTCTTTTATTGAATTATGTAAGAACTAGTGGCCGGCCTTCGCTTCGCTTCGGTGTAGAGCTGTAGTGTAAACTATAGTTTTTGTTCTCAGGCTTGTGTTATAAACAATGACTTTATTTATATAATTACACGTGTTATTGTGAGTAAACCATAAAAGATAAATACATGCTGTTGCAGGATATTTTTTAGACAATTTTATGTAGAATATTCCCGTCATACATGATTTCTATGTAACTTTAACCATTAAGGCTGCACACGCAACTGAAGCTTAAAAAATGGAGTAACTTCTCCCGTTTTCCCAACATTTTCCTTCACTACTCTGCTCCTATTGATTGTAGCGTGATGAAAAGTATACTATAACCTGCCCAGCAGTATGAAGAATAATTGTACCAAGTTTCGTTAAAATCCGTCGAGTAGTTTTTGTTTCTATAAGGAACATACACACAGACAGACAGACAGACAAAAATCTTACTGATTGCATTTTTGGCATCAGTATCGATCACTAATCACCCCCTGATAGTTATTTTAAAAAAATATTTCATGTACAGAATTGACATCTCTACAGATTTATTATAAGTATAGATATAGATAAAAATCAGCAGTCAGGTTTTTTAGAAGCTTTTAATTGACTTGCAATATAGGTAGGTATGTAACTATGTTTGTTCGGGTGGAATCTTGCAACTCAATTTTGAAGCAGATATCTTCAACCGGTTGAGCTGAAATTTTGTATATACACGGTTAGCTGTGTAACGTCATTCTAAATCCAACATGGCGGAATAGTTATTTTTAATGCATTCCTACGATATGGGTATATGGGCTTGCGGGGAATCTTTACATATAAAATAAAATATTTACAATCACAAAACTAGAAAGAAACTTAATTATTGTAGATGAAATTAAAATACTGTAGGTGGGCGGCCCTACCGCGTGTAACGCAGCGCTTGGCCATAGGCATTTATTTCAAGGACAGGGCCGAGTCACAATACTGTATAGATAATATTACCGTGCCCAAAGTAAGCACTGTAAGGCTTGTGCTATGGGATGCTAGGGTAACGGATAGAATACATATATAAGTATATTTATATAGAAATACATATTAACATCCATGACTGGAGTACAAATGCTCGTATTCATCACACAAACATCTGCCCCCACCGGGATTCGAACCCGGGACCTCTCGAGTTGGCGACACCATGAAACCCGGCGTACAAACCACTCGGCAACGGAGGTCGTCGCGGATTTAATGTCATAAAGTCATATTTTCGTTACTGATTATTTATTTTTTTAACCTTTACAACGGTGAGTGTTCTGAGGAGTTATTCTCTCTTATCCCACCTTTCCCCTGTCCTTCAGAGGATCACGTGCCCTGGTCCACGTTGCCACTGACTTTGGCCACTATTTCTACACGCTAAAGAGATTTAGTGACTTCTTTTTTTGTCATTCTATTCGCAAAGGGAATTCTTTGCCCGTGCACTTTCTCCCTCTTTTCTACAATATGGGGGCAAGCTTTTTTGCGGGCCAGCAACGTGATGATGGTTGGCGTGGCAGTTTATAATGTGCAGCAAGATCTGCATGATAATGTACACTCCCGCAAGCGGATGCAGATTTGCACTCCGCAGCGTAGTGCGGGGTAGTGTGAGAATCACCTTAACCATATAATAAAGAAATAATCTGAAAGGCAACAGAACAGTTACAGACAATTTTCTATAATAAAATAAAAATACAAACTTTATATAAAACAATATTTTTGTTATTGAACTAATATTGAGTATCACCTTATAAAGTATCGAGGCAAATATATATAAGAACAGCTGCTGGTGGTATACGAGCGTGTGGCTAGGCTAGGAGTGCGTGTGTCGATATGTGCTGGGAGGCGTCGCGTCGTGGCCTCGGTCGGCGGCGGCACCGGCGGCCGTCGCGGCGCGGAGGAAGCAGCGGCTCAGGTGCGAGCTGATAAGCCGTGATGTCACCGCGCGCGGCCGCCGCCCTCTCGACTCTCGCAGCGCCTCAGTCGATCGCGGTGCGCAACCGTGAGCGCAGTTTTTTGCGACAGCCTCCCGCGCCTCCGCCGCCGCAACGCGAGTGCGATCGTCCGACGGCCGCCGCGCAGCGCAGCGCAGATCACACGGTCAGCGTCGAGCTAGTGACGAACTTACAGTGTCGTGGATGGTAGTGAAGGCGTGGATCCGGAGGATGAGCGAGGGTGGGGGCGAGGCGGGTCGCGGCGCGGAGGAGAGCCCGCCCAGCCGCTGGCCCGTGGGCATCCTGCGGCGCAGCGGCGCGCGCGCGGCCCGCCGCATGCTGCACGTCAAGTACCGCAGCGTGCCGCCCGAGCCCGCGTCCCAATCCTCACCACATCCGACACAAACTCAACCCGACAACGAAGACACAGTTTCCTGCTTCTGTAGGTGAGCGGGGACATAGAATCTCTAGTCGCCGCCACAGTGCGGCGAAGCGGTGCAGTTTAATAAGTCCATACCTGATTGGAAAATCCCATTCCGTCACGAATCGTGTCTTAGATTTAACTGGCTGATAACGAAATGTATTTTCCTTGTTTATTACAGTCGGTTCTTGAGGTAAAAGAGGCACTTTAAGTTGTTTTCGTCGTGCGAAGTAAACAATAGAGGCTTGTATAATTTATTTGTATGACCAATCCGTGGCGGCATGATTGACGCGGAGGAGTGTAGTGACCGATGGGACCGGTCGGTGCAGCGCGCGCGCACGTGAGAGTGTTATCGCGCGCACCGTTATCAATGTACACCTGCGTGACGTCACCGACCCCCCCCCCCCCCCCCCCCGCACCGCAACACCCGAGGCCGTCTCCTCTCATTGTTTCGTAGCCAACACAAACATGACATTATTAGCCTTGCACATACACAGCTTTTTTGTCCATCGTTTGCCACCTAACAATAATTATGCTCACCAACCTGTTTCTTAGTTTTTCTGTGGTGATCAGATGTGGTGAATAACATATACGGTTGTTATTTTTTATTCAAAATTTCCATAAGTGTTTATGGGTTGTTGTAGTTTTTGTGAAATTCAGAGAGATATTTCTGGCACATGCATCTAGTCTCGCATGTTTTCCTATGATGACAGATATCATTCTGTGGAGCCCATGTCCTACGATTTACACTCCCTGATTTCATCGATACACAGAGCAAGAGATTGATCTCTACTACAAATTCATTATTATCAATGCTGTTTTCTATTCGCAAATTGTTGCAGCCTGCAAAAATATCGATTGTCAAACAAAAATAATACTTAGGTTCAGACTGCAAGCTGCAACCCTCAGATGATACTGCGTTTATAAAACACGATTGACACACACTGGTAGCGAAGTGCTTGGGCCGCGGTTGCATGCATGCATCGTACGTGACGGTTCTTCTACCCCAGGCTAATTGTAGGGACGCTGTCACGAAAGTGACCAATCTATAAGAGAGATACGTACGACATAGCGATACTTCTGTTTTGCAGCGTGTCAGATTAACATTTGAGTTCTAGGATTGCTAGGTACGCGCATGCGCGGGGGTAAGCGCGGGCGGCGCATTATGGGAACCCGCCTAAGAAAGCCATTTCGCCGCAATGAGTCAGTTCTCGTGTACCAGACACAACCTAAGTCTCTTATTGTTTGAAAGTGATACAAATTATGGTGTTTCCATCTCTAACTATATACGAAGCAATTTCACCGAATCTGCAGATGCAAATATTGCTAAAATTATCGCTAGTATTCAGAAGTCTTTCATAACTCAGTTTCGTCAACGCTATACTAAAGCTGGTCGATAGAAAGAACAGTTCTTAAGCCAAAACAGAAATTGGAGATGGGATTTGATTGAGCACAACTGTATGTTAATAAATATAAATTGTACTATATGCCATCTTCCGTGCACAAGGTTTTGATTCATGGTGCAAGTGTCATACGTCATTTTTTGGTATTGCCTCTTGGGCAACTTTTAGAAGATGCTCAAGAGTCACGGAAGAAAAACTACAAACAGTTCAGGCTTCATCATGCAAGAAAATATTTGAGGACAGCCTATTCAGGACCAAGGAAGATATTCTACACACTGTTGTATACCTCTGATCGTTACATTACATGTTTGAGAAAACCTTATAATAAAAAATATTTAGAACTTTTTGATGAAGAAAAGTAGCTAGCTCTTAAGTGATATTGGAGCTACTATGATGTTTGGTTTTTTAATTTTAAGCAGTTACATTTACTAGTTGCCTTTATAAACTTATTGAAACATAGATGTAAGTCTAAAAATCGTATATTTTTTGTTTTCCTATTTTATTGTAAGTATTATAAATAAAATTTTATATACAAATTATACATTATTTAAAAGCAAATATTTTCAAGATTATCAGAAAAACAAATCTTTATTATCACAGGAGTTATAGATTTTTGAGATGAAAATGAGTCAAAGTTCCCATAGTGCGGCGCACACACTGGGCGCCCGCGCCCGCGCCCGGTCGCGTAATTGTCGGGGCGCCGGAGTCAAGTGGGTGAAATCAGGACCGAGTTACTGTATGTCACGCTACACAAACACTACAATCTTCCTACAATTATTTCTTATTAAATCGCAATATGGAAGAGATGTAATGCCATATAAGCATTAGCTCCTTGCATTGGAGGACCCAATACGGGTGAAGTTATCTTTACAGAGGAAATAGTGAAATGACACTAGCTTTTGGTGATGTTGGCTCCTTGCATTGGAGGACCCAATACGGGTGAAGTTATCTTTACAGAGGAAATAGTGAAATGACACTAGCTTTTGGTGATGTTGGCTCCTTGCATTGGAGGACCCAATACGGGTGAAGTTATCTTTACAGAGGAAATAGTGAAATGACACTAGCTTTTGGTGATGTTGGCTCCTTGCATTGGAGGACCCAATACGGGTGAAGTTATCTTTACAGAGGAAATAGTGAAATGACACTAGCTTTTGGTGATGTTGGCTCCTTGCATTGGAGGACCCAATACGGGTGAAGTTATCTTTACAGAAAAAATAGTGAAATGACACTAGCTTTTGGTGATGTTGGCTCCTTGCATAGGAGGACCCAATACGGGTGAAGTTATCTTTACAGAAAAAATAGTGAAATGACACTAGCTTTTGGTGATGTTGGCTCCTTGCATTGGAGGACCCAATACGGGTGAAGTTATCTTTACAGAGGAAATAGTGAAATGACACTAGCTTTTGGTGATGTTGGCTCCTTGCATTGGAGGACCCAATACGGGTGAAGTTATCTTTACAGAAAAAATAGTGAAATGACACTAGCTTTTGGTGATGTTGGCTCCTTGCATTGGAGGACCCAATACGGGTGAAGTTATCTTTACAGAGGAAATAGTGAAATGACACTAGCTTTTGGTGATGTTGGCTCCTTGCATTGGAGGACCCAATACGGGTGAAGTTATCTTTACAGAGGAAATAGTGAAATGACACTAGCTTTTGGTGATGTTGGCTCCTTGCATTGGAGGACCCAATACGGGTGAAGTTATCTTTACAGAAAAAATAGTGAAATGACACTAGCTTTTGGTGATGTTGGCTCCTTGCATTGGAGGACCCAATACGGGTGAAGTTATCTTTACAGAGGAAATAGTGAAATGACACTAGCTTTTGGTGATGTTGGCTCCTTGCATTGGAGGACCCAATACGGGTGAAGTTATCTTTACAGAGGAAATAGTGAAATGACACTAGCTTTTGGTGATGTTGGCTCCTTGCATTGGAGGACCCAATACGGGTGAAGTTATCTTTACAGAGGAAATAGTGAAATGACACTAGCTTTTGGTGATGTTGGCTCCTTGCATTGGAGGACCCAATACGGGTGAAGTTATCTTTACAGAGGAAATAGTGAAATGACACTAGCTTTTGGTGATGTTGGCTCCTTGCATTGGAGGACCCAATACGGGTGAAGTTATCTTTACAGAAAAAATAGTGAAATGACACTAGCTTTTGGTGATGTTGGCTCCTTGCATAGGAGGACCCAATACGGGTGAAGTTATCTTTACAGAAAAAATAGTGAAATGACACTAGCTTTTGGTGATGTTGGCTCCTTGCATTGGAGGACCCAATACGGGTGAAGTTATCTTTACAGAGGAAATAGTGAAATGACACTAGCTTTTGGTGATGTTGGCTCCTTGCATTGGAGGACCCAATACGGGTGAAGTTATCTTTACAGAAAAAATAGTGAAATGACACTAGCTTTTGGTGATGTTGGCTCCTTGCATTGGAGGACCCAATACGGGTGAAGTTATCTTTACAGAGGAAATAGTGAAATGACACTAGCTTTTGGTGATGTTGGCTCCTTGCATTGGAGGACCCAATACGGGTGAAGTTATCTTTACAGAGGAAATAGTGAAATGACACTAGCTTTTGGTGATGTTGGCTCCTTGCATTGGAGGACCCAATACGGGTGAAGTTATCTTTACAGAGGAAATAGTGAAATGACACTAGCTTTTGGTGATGTTGGCTCCTTGCATTGGAGGACCCAATACGGGTGAAGTTATCTTTACAGAAAAAATAGTGAAATGACACTAGCTTTTGGTGATGTTGGCTCCTTGCATTGGAGGACCCAATACGGGTGAAGTTATCTTTACAGAGGAAATAGTGAAATGACACTAGCTTTTGGTGATGTTGGCTCCTTGCATTGGAGGACCCAATACGGGTGAAGTTATCTTTACAGAGGAAATAGTGAAATGACACTAGCTTTTGGTGATGTTGGCTCCTTGCATTGGAGGACCCAATACGGGTGAAGTTATCTTTACAGAGGAAATAGTGAAATGACACTAGCTTTTGGTGATGTTGGCTCCTTGCATTGGAGGACCCAATACGGGTGAAGTTATCTTTACAGAGGAAATAGTGAAATGACACTAGCTTTTGGTGATGTTGGCTCCTTGCATTGGAGGACCCAATACGGGTGAAGTTATCTTTACAGAGGAAATAGTGAAATGACACTAGCTTTTGGTGATGTTGGCTCCTTGCATTGGAGGACCCAATACGGGTGAAGTTATCTTTACAGAGGAAATAGTGAAATGACACTAGCTTTTGGTGATGTTGGCTCCTTGCATTGGAGGACCCAATACGGGTGAAGTTATCTTTACAGAGGAAATAGTGAAATGACACTAGCTTTTGGTGATGTTGGCTCCTTGCATTGGAGGACCCAATACGGGTGAAGTTATCTTTACAGAGGAAATAGTGAAATGACACTAGCTTTTGGTGATGTTGTGTTGTGCTGTGAGTCACTAATTCGCTCCCATGTAGCCCTTCATAATGCATACAATGTTTTCTACTAATAGGTAGTAATAAAATAAACAATGTAGGTCGCGGGTCATTGATGTCAACAATAGGTAAAATTGTATGGAGTAAGGTTTGTTTACGCGTTGCCCACGCGCAGTGTACAAGGCGAACTTGTGCTT